GACACACTGTGACACACTGACACACTGTGTCACACTGTGACACACTGTGACACACTGTGACACACTGTGACACACTGTGACACACTGTGACACAGTTCATGATTATTGATGATGTGGTTTTTGTGTTACCAGGTCCTGGAGGTGCTCTGGTCCTTGTTGGGGAAACAGGGCAGGAACTGAGTGATGGAGGGTCTGCTCTCAGGCCAGCGGTAGTGCAGCGGGTTCTCCTCCGGACAGTTTTCTATCAGGACGGATTAAAGGTACAATATGTGACAGGTAGAGTCAGCATCCTGTCTCCTTCAAAATAAAACACAGACTTCTCCTAAAGCTGCTCCATTGTCCCTTCTGGGCCTCCGTACATGTGTGGTGGTGACTGTGTCTGTAGAGACTCTGTCCTTTGACTGGATTTTACTGTTCTGCTTTGTTCTGGTTGACTCGGGACGTTTCTGGGCGGAGCTGGTGTGTTTCCTCCAGCCAATGACAGCGCAGCAGGTGAGTTTAGGAGTGGATACAATTCAGTGATTGGACGAGATTCAAAGCGGTGAATATGACGGACATGCAAAGGCGCTGCTTGTCATTAGGCAAGGCAGGTAACTGCTTGGGGCCCAAGACCAGTAGGGGGCCCCAAAGCAGCGGTCGTAAATGGGCAAATTTTTCAACAACAGTAGGAAACCTCCCTAAGGGAGCCCCATCTGACAGAACTCACTCCTGTTGCCTCGCTTAATGCTGGTTCTAATGAAAATGTAAAAGCCATCACATTGAAACACTTTGGAGTCCCTCACCGACTGATCTGACATCAGTAGACCCGGGCTGGACCTGCAGACCGGCTCCCATCAGCCCCTCAGATCCGGACATCCTGGCAGACACAGCAGCTTCTCCCAGGCTCTGATTGCTGATGTAATAATAAACCAGCAGCGCCTGACACGCATAGCTGCAGACACAAAAACAAAGCTGCTGAGAGTGCTGAGTCAGCGATGTGACGGGATCAGGTCGGACAACAATCACAAGCACGTTACCAAAACAAAGAAATGTTTTACCTGGTCGGGTTCCCTCCGCTCTGCACGGCCGGCTGCACACTGCACACAAGATGAAGTCCCTTTATGTTACACCATGTTTATAGCTTTATGGTTTATAGAGCGTTCACGTGCACCTTAAAGGCTTTATATGTGATTTTTTGATCCAGCAGATGTCGCCCTTGAGCACCAGCATGAAACCAAAACAACTCGTGCTGCATTGTTGTGTTAGCATGCTAATGCTAGCGATCTTTATTATGCTGGTATCTTCACACTGCATGTAAATTTAGCTGAAATGAGCGTGATCTAGAAACACAGTTAAGCAGTGAGTACAGTATGTTATTCTTATTCTGCGATGTAAACAAAGTGAAGATAGGACTCTGAAAACTCTGAAAACATCACAGACAGTGGGACTCGGGTGTTACACCCATTGTAGACAGTCATGACTCACAGAGTTATTTTCAGAGGAGATACTTGATTTCTACATTTAAGTGTGAAAAATCACATATTAAGTCTTTAAGAATCACTCAGACGGGTTCTACCTCAGATTGGTCTATGATCTGAGATCCTCTGAATGAGTTTATTTCTTTACATGTTCTGGTCCAGTTGGGGTTCATTAGGTTAGTTGTTTCCATTGACATATGTTACAAATAAACCAACAAATCAGGACAGCTGACACAGCAAAATGCCTGCATCATACTATGAGTCACACAGTTTATGTCGGGGGTGCCAGGTGGCCGTTCGGTTGGTTTGTGTGCCCTGTGTACAGAGGCTATAGGCCTTGTTTGAATCCCACCTGTGGCTCCTTTCCTGCACGTCATACCCCCTTCTCTCTCTCTCTGATTTCTGACTCTATCCACTGTCCTCTCTCTCTCTGGTTTCAGACTCTATCCACTGTCCTCTCTCTCTCTGGTTTCAGACTCTATCCACTGTCCTCTCTCTCTCTCTGATTTCTGACTCTATCCACTGTCCTCTCTCTCTCTGGTTTCAGACTCTATCCACTGTCCTCTCTCTCTCTGGTTTCTGACTCTATCCACTGTCCTCTCTCTCTCTCTGATTTCTGACTCTATCCACTGTCCTCTCTCTCTGGTTTCAGACTCTATCCACTGTCCTCTCTCTCTGGTTTCAGACTCTATCCACTGTCCTCTCTCTCTCTCTGATTTCTGACTCTATCCACTGTCCTCTCTCTCTCTGATTTCTGACTCTATCCACTGTCCTCTCTCTCTCTGATTTCTGACTCTATCCACTGTCCTCTCTCTCTCTCTGATTTCTGACTCTATCCACTGTCCTCTCTCTCTCTGATTTCTGACTCTATCCACTGTCCTCTCTCTCTCTCTGATTTCTGACTCTATCCACTGTCCTGTCTGTAAATAAAGTCCCAAAACTAAACCTTTAAAGATAGTTCATGTCTTAACAATTCAATTTAAATGGAAAGTGAGGGAGCTCAATGAAGCCGTCACTCGGGGGCAACTTGTTTGCTTCAGCTGCTCCACAGATGGAGGTCGGCGCTCTCAGAGAAGGCGTTCAAAATCTACTTCAGTGGACTCCTTCTCTCAGGCAGGCTCCAGAGAAAGTACTGCAGCACACCAATCACTGAAGGCAAATTTATTTAGGTGCAAAAGACTAAAACCTTTTCAGGGCACTGCGTCATCCTGAAGAGTCAAACAGGACAGGGAGAGATTTGAAAAAGCTAAAACACACTCCCACTCACACTCACTGGTTGATGAGAGTGGCAGGTGAAGTTGTGAATATGTATAAATAACTTGGTTTATTTCTGTTAGTCTGGGTGGTTTCATGAAGAAGAGACTCTGTGATACCTTCAGGATGTGACTGTGTTCTAAAACTAATCTCCTCCCTGCACTTGTTTGTTTGATCAGCGAGTATAAATCTGTTGCTGGATTACCTGCTGGAGTTGATGTAGACAGCGTGGGTCCAGTTCAGAAATGTTTGATTGAGCTGCAAGAAGAAAAAACAATTCAAGTCATTGACTGATCCAATAAAACAGCAGGAGTGTTCGGGGTGCTGCTGAGGGAGTCAGACAGAGTGACGCTCTGAAGCATTTCTACAAGTTCAGTGTCTGTTTAATAGAAGCTGCACTCTGTGACGTGCCTGGCATTATGGGTCACGTAGTCCAAGTATTCCTAAATCCTGATATTTTCCACCCGTAAAAGATCCACTCAGTGAGATGTGTAGAGAGTGAGATGATAAAGGTATCTTACTATCTGATCATTAAGGAAACATGCTATGTTGAAGTGCTGGCTTCTCTGACAGCTCTCTATGATGTTTAGAATTTAGACTGCAGTACCCATCAGAGTTACATACATGTCTGATGATATAGTAAGGTAATCTTTTCATTTCATTACTACATATCTTACTGACTGGACCTCTAACATTTCCGGTCACCCTGCAGCAGTCAGTGGCCCGGTTCGCCCATCCCTGTCGAAACCGTCTGGCTCCCCACACCACTGGTAGGTGTGACCAGCGGGGTAAAAAGCTTTACAGGCTCCTGCCTATTTACTGAAGTGGCTGATGTGAAAGCATTCCTTTAAAACCCCAAACAGTGTTTGATTACATGTCCCCTGCAGTGACCTCTATGTGAGAGGGAAAAGGTGCTCCATATATAAAGTTATTATTATTATTTTAATGGACGCATTTCTATTGGGTGAATCTTCCCTAACATGGCAGCCATTATGGTCTGTTTCACTGCTGCAGGTTAAACAAACCTACAGGAGCAATATACCAAAACCTTTGAGTTCACTAACTGGTGTGCAGGACGATGTTTGGGCGTTAACGAAATCAATGTTGTGATAACAGAGACGAGCTGTCTGCTATCTGGACAACGCTGGTGTGAAATTGCGTCAATCTCCACATTACATTGCCGCCTCGTCTTCCTGAAACTGGACTCTTCTTACCCAGAGAGCCACGGCCCGATCCACATCAGCCCGCGTCAGCTCAGAGTCCCCGTCATCCACCACGAAGGAGATCCTGTAGAACAACACCTCTGCAGAAAACAGAAAATGATTCTTCAGTCTCAATTTGTCACACGCTGTTTCACTCAAATAATGGAACTCCGTTTTGTGCCGCAGAGCAGGAGATGAATGGAGCCGTCGGAGGTAATCGAGTTATGTAAAAATCCAATTTCACAGCCTGAAATGATGAGGAGGGATATTGATGCTGAGGAGAGGAGGCAGAGCAGTTATTAGGATATCTTTGGGTGAATGGGATCATAGCAGATGTAATGGAAGCCGCAGCCAAACATGTTTCTGTCGACAGAGGCGCTTATACAGATTTAGTATCTGACTGTGTCATTCCATCTTTGAGGATTTCACACTTTGAGTGTGAGCCTGCAGTCTGACACCTCTCACACTTACTGCTCAGACTCAAACAGATGTTACACGTTTATTGGAGACTGAAGCTTCACGTGAGGTTAATGGTAATCATCATTCATTTAGAGATCAAGACTCTTTGGAGTTTATTGTTGATGCATCTCGCTGGCTTTAAGTATATAAGCTCAAGGATTTAAAGTATAGTGTTGTAGTCAGGACCGCAATAACCAAGACCGAGACATACCCACAACAGAACCCCCGCTGCCCCTTAAAGGTCAAGTTCATTTTATTTAATTTTATTGTCTATATAGAGCGCCACAGGAAGGAGTCCTAAAACCCTGAAGTAAGTTAGCATTTGAGCGCCATGAGGTCAAACGTCTAAAAGTCAACGGGGATTTTGAATGTGTTTGTGGTTAGACCCCTGAAATAAGGTCTGTGGTTAACACAAGCTGAAGAGATGTTGGTGTTTTGTTAGACCACATAAACTACGTTACCACATGTAACTTGTGAATTTTGAAGTTTTTACTCGTCTTTAAAAAGGCGGTTGCTAACAACAGACCTTTCTCACAGCCGTCATTTTGTGTAGCAGCGAGCCTTTCAGCTCCTGCTATGACAGCTGTGAGAAAGGTCTCCTGGGGCCTGACGTCAGACCTCATGTTCAGGTTATTCTCTGTGTTATCAGCCTCTCATTGGCTCCTAGCTCAGAGGGTCTAACCTGGATATGAGGAAGGACTTCAGGTCCCACCAGGGCCACACAGGACGACATGTGAGCCCACGTGGAGTCCTGGGTGGTGTGGGTTTACTCCGAGCGCTTCGGTTTCCTCCCACATTTACAAATTTGGAAATTCAATTTGAAAAACAAATCATCTCTGTTTTATTAGGTACATTTTTCTTTAGATTATTTCAAATATTTATTTGTGCCTCACATTTTATTTCATTTCTGATTCTGTCCATGGTTCTCATTGTTACTCTCTATCACTTGCATTATTTTTCTGTTTTTCACATCACATTATAAACTTAAAGCTGGTTAATGTCCTGATATTTTATGGTCCAAACTACAAATAAATAAAAAATAATAATGAAACAGGAATGTGAATGAAAATCATTAAAGGGGACAAACAAACAAAGACAACACGTCATATGAGACTCAATCCATCATGACTTGTTGCTCAGTGTACAACACTACAAACTGTTTGTCAGGTGGTCTTTCAAGAAAAGTTTCAGGTTCTTAAACTTATAAGAACTCGATTTGAAAGATTTGAGAATAGGGTTCTTAATTATCAAAGAACAAAAAAATGAAAATAATTGAATTTGAGTGGTTGAATATTTTCAGAAGTTTTGGGTGTCATTTCTCATTTAGGAGGTATTGGTGGGTTCTTAGGCTAGACAGGTTGAGAAGCATTGCTCTAAAGGGTTCAATCTCCCATGGTTATTGTTATAATAGTTCATACACTGTCCTTTAAATTGGTTCAACATCAAAGATGGAATGCAACCTTTCTCAAAATGGTCAAATTCTGATTTTATGTCTCACAATTTTGGTTTAAGTCATGTCAAACTATCATGAAGTCTCCAGCAGCAGACTCACAATTTGTTCAGTCTTATATGAATATCCCAAACTGAAGCTCTCTCCTCTGTGATCTGGCATTTTAAGGGCTCCCAGCTCTCCTGCTATGCTTCACATTGGCCACTAGGTGCCACTCTAGTGTCTATAACAGTGAGTAAAGGCTGATGAAAGGTCAGCAGACTCCTACTCCATCAGTTCTGGTGGGAGACCCTGCAAGCCGCAGACTTTTACTGAAACCTCTCTCTGAGGTTCAGAGAGAAGCTGCTCACACATTCTGTTTCACAGTGCACTGTAAAAACAGGAAGTGTGTGTGTAGTTTATCTTTTAGAGAGTAAAGCAGCGCAGCAGGACATCTCTACCAAGAAGCTGAAATGGGAATAAAAAGAGGGAAATGTGACTCCAGATCATAAAAAGTGAGGATTAAAAGGTGTGTAGAGTCAAAGAAAACAAGGACCCAAAGGTGAAAGGCCTATTCTGTAATGACGGACAAGAAAAATGCACCACAATCAGTCTATTTCAATTAGCACAGGTCGAAATACCACCATTTGATTGGACAACCAGATTCGATTTCAAAGTCCAACATGAGGCCCAAACTTATGAAGAACCAATCACCACCTCCCACACTTCAGAGATCCCACCTGTTCAACGGATTGACATTTAGTGATAAAGACCACGGCTGAACGGGTACAGAGAAAAAGTCTAAAAAGTCTAATTATGGATATAACCACTACTCAGACACTACACAACAAAACCCAACCACCTTCAGAGGTAATTTAATTATGTATTCAGTCTTAAAATCTTGATTTTTTTTTAACCTCAAAGTGGCATCATCTACTGAATGAATAGAGAAGTTTTGTTATGCATTGAGCCGTTACAAACTTTAAGGCCAAAAGTCTGTGGACACCTCAATATTTCAGACATATGTTGAACATAGTATGGATTATAGTTTACATTCCAGTCCATCCAAAGGACGTTGGATTGACTTGACGTGTGCTGTCAAGTCGAATTATTCCACACCGAACTCAGAAAAACATTCACGGTCTCATATTATACGTCCTGCTGTTTTTACACTTTCGATTTTGAATGTTTGAACATTAATAACGACCTAGTTGAGTATGGATGGCCGGCCATTTCTAACCCCAAATGGTTGCCATCTTGACAACTTCGGTGAGAAGAAAGGTCAGACACACTGCAGCCTAAATTCTGAATCAGTAACCGAGGGCACCAACAGTAAAGTAAATAAACTGAATGAGGCGAAGTAAACAATCTGGACGATAGTTTGGTGCGCGACAACGTCAGGTCAAATGTTGGCGATAATGTTCTGCAAGGTTGCAATTTGCTATGGAGGAGAATATGAAGAAAATACCACAAATTTAGAGAACTATTTTTGTCCAACATGTCACTGAACGCTGGAGTATTAAGTGTTCCAAAGAAGCCTAAAGCAGGACAAATAAAAGTGGCCGATAAGTACCGTTAAGTGTGTTTAAAGTGGTGTCCAAAGACTTTCAGCCGTGTAGTTTGTATTTAATGATGCATCGCCTCATTAAGTTAAGACTTGAGTTAACTTTTTGCCTTGTGAGACAAGCTTTAAGACTTAATACAAGTTACTGCAATGATTGTTTTTGTACAGTGCATGCTGCTGTCACTACGGATTGTTTGTATTTTAATTATCTAAATCTACTGTTTCTGGTTACTGCATGACATACTGTTCCCTGATGACAGTCCACACAGACATGTAATATGAAAGCCTTGTTTACATTGGCATGGCAACGTCGGCTTGGCTGCTAAATCCACAGACGGGGATCCAGGTGCAGGGTGCACCATGGCCTTTTTTAGGGTGCTGCTGCTGCCACCACTGCTGGCTGACGTAGTAAGCGGTTTGAATGGTGCGTTCTTTGTGGTTATGAAATGGTGAGCGTTGATGAACACAGGTAGCGTAGGAGAAGGGTGGGAATGGTCATAATTATTCAAGGCCCCATTTACAACTGCTCCTGAGCTCTGATTTCTACTGTGATTCGACACAGTTGGATTTGAGTTCAAAGCAAGCTTTGAAATGGTTGAATTTGACTTCGCTGATGTGCCTGCATCCACACTGAGATCTGGCCTTTGTTTGCTGTCTGTCAAATTCCCCAAGGATCCTTCCAACCTTCCATTATCTATCGTAGCTGTACAATTTTCAGCCTTTGTAGTGTTCGTTATTTTTGGCACCGGAGGAGAGTCTTCATGTGTTAAAACTGTGGTTGCATTTGACAGAGAGATATCATTTGAGCCTGGTGTGAACTCCTCAGGTCCAAAAATGAAGCCTTGACTCTGGGCAAAGGTAGAAGAATAAACGGTGGATCTGGAAGCCGGCGTGGGGGAGGGGGTATTGAGGCCAGAAGTTTGTGGGGGGTTTGAAATAACTGGAGCACCAGTTGGATGTGTAGAAGCTGCAGAGCTGGGCTGATAACTGGGTTCATAAATTGGAAAAGTAGTTTGCACTTCAACAGAAAATGATTCAGAGCTCAGTGTAGCCCCTGGAATCAGACTTTTATTAAGCTGATGGCCTGTTGGAGCATTTTCCATTACATCTAGAGTGTTATTGTCAATTTTGTTCCCATCAGAAACCGGTTCTACAGCAGAGGCATGTTCACCAGCAGTATGTATTTTTGGAATAATGTCAGCAGGGTCAAATCCAGCAGAGAGATGGAACCGTATATCATTTGCAGTGAGGTTATAACTGGCTTTCGATGGCGACACGAGACCGTCGACAAACCTTGAAGCATTGGCTTTTTGTGTGGTGTTTGCCAGCTGTGCCAAAATCTCATCCTTGTGATAATCATCAGCCGAAGTATAAGGCATTGAGTGGCTGGATTTCAATTTGTAATTAGGGGGTGTGGAGGCTTGGTCGAGAGGTAGTGACAGGCTAACTGTGACATACTGCTGGTTTGACTCTGTTGACTGGCTAACAGGGTATTTGGTAGACATTTGGAAGGATTGTAAATAGTTGCCCATGGGGGTTTGGGTTGCTGTGGGCTGGTGGAATCTAGCAGTCGGCCAACTTGGCAACAAAGAACCAATTTCTACCTCTTCCATACCAGCGGACACGGGTGGCGTCGCAACCAAGCCAAGGCGGAGAGGAGAGAGAGAAGGGGTTATGATGGATGAGAGGGGGAGGGAGGAGACAGTCATAAAGGGAGCAACTGCATGATGGATGGGAGAACGTTTATGAGAAGGAAAAGGTGGTGTGAGTGTTGCTGTAAGAGGAAGAGAAAGCAAAATGGAGGGTAAAAGGAGAGGGGAGTATTGCTGCTGCAGCCCCATAACTTCCACATACTCCTCTGCATCTTGTGCATCCTGTCTTAGCCTCTGACTCTTCTCGTTATGTCCCTCACTTGCATTCACAAACAGATGGTGGTGGGGTTCAGTGTTTTCTTGTGTCAAGCCTGAAGCATGCTCTGGCTCTGGGGGGCCTGGGTTTACACTCCGGCTGCTGTGGAGTGCCATCGCCTGGGTTCCTAACATGACAGATGGATTTGACGAAGGGTAAGTGCGGTGATTCAATACATCATCATACTTCGGGAGTCCTGAGAGCCTCTCGAGTTATTCTGAGCATCAGTGTTGGTGTTTGTTCCGAATTTGTTACCGTCGCTTGTTTGCTGCAGCCTCCAGGGATCTCTGTTAAAGAGCAGGCCGGGAGTGTGTTTCTCTTGTGATAAAGATGTCTGAGTTAAGACGAGAGGGTCCTCAACCACAGGGTCAGGGGAGGATAAGGAGGAAGACATTGCAGCTTCCTCTCTTAACACCTGTTCAGCCGGCTTAGCAACATGCAGGAGGTCATGAGAATTTGAAGAAGAAGAAGAAGAATTAGAAGACAAAGAAGAGTGCAAATGCTGGGTTCCATTTTTATTTCCTCGATGCAGAGCTGGGATGCCTTCGGGGGCCCAGATATCAGCTGTTGCCAGAGATGTAGAGCCAATTGCAGACTCATCTGGCAGACTATCAATGTTTCCTAATTCTTCTTGGTCAGGATTAACCAAGAACTGACTAACTGACCGACTGGCTGCTTGAGAGGAAGGCCACAAAACCACAGATGAACCCAACTCAAGGTCAAGCAACTCCAGCTGGGACGAATCTGTCTCCGTTTGAAGCGGTAAATCCGTTGTGGATAGTCTAGAGGGAGTTGGCTCAATTTGGCTCAACAAGGAGTCTAAAAAAGTACCAACTGAATTGACAAGCTGACCTGATGGGTTGCCAAGGAGTTGACTACTCTCAGAGTCTTGTAATTGACTTTTTATGGATTCTGATTTATTGTTAGACAGCTCTCCAGCAGAAAGTAACAGTGCGCCATCAACAACTGGCATCTGAGATTCAGTTGGGACTTTGGAAAAGGAAGGAAGTGACAACAAGGATGTAGTGTCAGCTCTTGTCGCCTCAAAGTCTTTTTGAAGGTTTGAGGATGGAGACAGAGATGACAATACAAAAGAAGGAAAGTTCCTGCTAACTTTATTTGGCTCAGGAACGTGAACAGATTCTGCAACATCGTCTGTGTCTGAAAGCTTTAGTTTGGCCTGCTGGGATGAGGAAGGCAGGAAGAAGGAGGGCTGTTTAGAATCAGAAACGGGTGGAAAGGAGGTGGTCTTGAGGGAAGGAGAGGAAGAAATCTGCAAAGTACCAGTAGAGAGTGATGGTGAAGCCGATAGAGAGATGGTATGACAGGAGGTGAGGAGGGAAGATGCAGACAAAAAGGGAAGAGAAGGGAATAGGGGGGAAGGACGTGTATCAGAAGGGAATTCAAGGAGGTTTGTAGAAAGTGAGACGGGGTACATCTGGATGAAATCTTCCTTCTGTGGCAAGGGAGAATAGAAGATCTGCGTGGGGAAAATCTCCTCTGCTAAGAAAGCCGGGGAGCTTAGCTGTACCATGGGCTTAGAAGGTGTTGACTGTAGAAAGAGAAGGGATGAAAGGGAGGGAGTAAGCAGGGATGGTGTTGGCTGAGAGGTCGATGTTTCCATTTTAGGAGTGACAGACTGTGTGTGGGAAATTTCCACTAGATTTTGTCCACTTGAACTAGTATTACTTGGAGCCCTGTGGTGAGTTTGATCTGCCGTCAGAGCCTGAGAAACAGTTATACGAGAATTGCTGAGGGAAATCAATGTTTCAGGCATTAATCCATCTTCTGAGTGAGTCAGGGAGAGTTTGCTGCCTTTTACAACGTCATCTGTGAAGATGTGCGATTCATTATGATATTGTAAAGAGGGCTTATTCTCACTTTCTCCCTCGGAAGCATATAGAAGGAGTGTAAGGGGAGGTAAAGCACCATGAGGGTCTGACCCATTTAACGATGGTTCGTCTTTGGGGTCGGTGCCCATAAATGCTGGTTGGACAGTGACGGGTTCATCCAAGGAGTAAGCAGCATCAAACTCGTACAAGCCAATAGAACCGCTCTCCTCGGTTAACTCAAACATAAACGGCTCATACCCAGACGAGTACTCATCAACCATTGGTTCCAAAGGATCTGTCAAGTTACCCATGGCAATCGTTTCGTTATCTCTATCTCTTGTGCCCAGTAGCCACTGTGGCCCTGCAGGTTTGTTCTTTCTGTTGCTAAGCGCTGACGACGGGGACAACACAGATGACGAGGATGCCTCATCTCTACGTTGCAACAGAGATGATTCTTGGGACAAAAGTTGGATCCCTGATTCAGGAGGGAGTTTTGAGCCTTGTGTGGTAGTATGCAAGTCCTCTTTGGAGATTGATGGTTGCGAAAAGTTTGGAATTGATGTAGGTTGGACTACTTTTCCAAACACGTGTGTAGCATTTCTCAAATCAGGTCCATGCGTGTATCCAGCTGTCCGTGTCAATATGCCCATCTGTGTTGTGGCTGTTGGCATTTTATTGGATTTGAGTTCAGGTGTCCTTGCAGTTGGTTTCGTCATGTAAACCACGGACCTGGGCGGTGTATTGGTTGTAGCTAGACGCCTTACAGTGCTTGGCCTATTCTTACCCTTCCTGATCAGAGGGGTGGAGATGTACCCGAGGGAGATCTTGGAGCTTCGATGGCCTCGGGGCCGGTGAAAGGAGACTGGAAGTCTGGGATTAGATGCCTCAGATATAACTGGGGGGCCTGGGCGTGGAGCCAAGGGTCTGGGTTTGGAAGCCGCATCCGAGAGTCTTGAGGATTTAATTGGAGGACTTGAATGGCTGGATGCAAAGGACCTACGATGCCTCAATCTTTTGTAGAGAGCAGTTTGACCAGCAGCCTGAGGCTTTGAGTCGGAAGAAAGGTCATCCAACTTCTGAGGATTAACTATTTCAGCAGGAGCAGCACTGGCTGAAGCTTTGGTTGGAAATTTCTTTGCAGATTCCTTCGCTGTCGTCAAACCAGGCGTTATTTTGTTGAAAAAGCAGGTTACAGATAATGAATTATAGCATACAGGGATATTCAGCGAAGAAACTCAAAAACCAGACGTATATACAATGGAAAAAAGAGGCAACAGACATTTCTAATTCAGATCTGCAATCCCAAATATCACAAAAAGACAGAAAAAAAAGTTCCAACTAATCAAAGACAAGTTACAAAGAAAAGGAAAAGAAACCACACAAAAAAGCAAGACAAGTTTAAAGCATGAACAAGTTGATAAAACAGTGAAAGATTAGGTCATTTAATGTACAATATGAATGAAATCTACACCAGAAGAGATTTTTGTGGGACGAATCTACGGTGCTCTTTGGATTTCATTGTTAGTAACACAACAGAAATTACAGAAGCTCTAACGATGATGAAACAGAAAGCTTGAAAAACATTTAACTAAATAAAACACAAGCCACTTGGAAGACAGAACAAAACGTGATTAGATAAGATTCGACTAAAAACTAATCTAACTGTATCAGCGGACAACTGGTTCAAACAGCAACAGGAAAAATGTCATCTCCAAAGAGGGAAAAGAAACAATTTGAAACACACCTTCTGATAAGGAAAGCTTAAAATCAAGACAAAGGACATGTCTGCTGAGGAATTAAGGACGTATAAAGGATGTGACTGGACAGGAAATTCAGCAGAAAGTACCAACCTCGATTGCCTTAGAAGAGCAAATGTGCTTCTTACCCCGAGAGGAAGCAGCAGTTACAGCTATGTTAGTGGTTGGTTGGTTAGTAGCAACTAACAGCAGCGGAGGAGAAGTTCCTGGCACTGTAAGTGGTAATGAAAGACAGAATGAGACAAGAGGGGCGTAAGCAGAGGTGGTTTCAATTCATTTGAATAAGGAAGCATGTTTTTGAAATGTTAATTATGAGTAGATTGCTGAAAGGTGTTAAATAATTAGAATTCAGAAAAAAATGGGAATTGTTCTCAATCAAGTCATGTTGAATCAAAGCGAACCATTGATACTCAAAGACAGCCATCGTAAATACAAATAAATAGGTCTAAAGCAAGAATCCAGATTTTTAGATGCTAACCGTCCTAAATCAGGCAAACAGATTGCCTGAGCTTCGTGTACACAGTGGTGGTTGTTATCAAAACGTTGTCGTCTGAACACAGAAATGTTTTGATAACTTAAATTAAAAACGCTTCTGTGTTCAGTAAACATGGCCTATGTTTCAAAGTCATGAAAACATTTGCAGTAATCTCTGTTCTGCGATGCCATGGACATACTTTTTTTTACTCAGTTACAGTAAAGTCTGATCCCTCTAACCCTCACCAATACAGAGTAGGGCTGGGCAATATATCGAGTTTTTAAGATATCTCGATATATTTTTAAACAAGATATAGGGTAAGACAATATCATTAATATCGATATAGTTTATGTTGCATTAAAATAACGTTACAGAGGTGCCAGGTCACCTTATTCTCATCTCACTGATGATGACTGACTGTCTGTCCCTCTTAACCCTGCTCCTCCTCTCTCTCTCTTTTGTTGTATTTAAGGAACATTTTTATTTTATAATATTACTTTTTAAATTCACAAACAGGTAGTTTATTTTCCATGTGTTTTCACTGTTAATAAAAGGCATATTGATATATATCGAGCATCACCATTCAGCTAATCAATATCAAGATATGAGTTTTGGTCCATATCGCCCAGCCCTAATACAGAGTCACATACCGTTTGGTTTTGTACCTTCCAGAATGTATTTACTCACAGCAGCAGTCTTCTAAGTTGTGTAAATAAAGCTTTACAGTCTGATCTGTGGCTTCACAGCGTTATTGTTGATCTTACCATGGGTTGTAGGGTTAGTAGCTGGGAGGTTAGTGGTAGCAGAGGAAACAGTTGGCGTGCTGCTGGTTGTCTGTTGGGCTACATGGGAAGTAAACAATCACAGAATATCAGTCAGTTTATATCACACATGCTGAAGGTATTATATGCACCAATCTGTGTACAAGATCTCAACATAAACACCTCAAAGCTGTAAGTCAGAACCTTGACTTACAGAGTTAGCTAGAGTTAATATTCTGTTAGCTACCTTACCATGTGGTGTACTGCTGGCTGAAGCAACATTAGTGGCAGAGGATGAAGGCGTAGCAGCACTGGTGGTGATGGCGATGGTAGTGGCAGGCATAACTGATCAGCACAATGAGTCATTAACATAAAGCATAAAACCATTAACGGTGGTAATGGGACAAGCTCCTAGCCTGTTTGGTTTCAGAACCAATCTCAAAAGTCTTTCTTGATTCAGAGCAAAAAGCAAAACAAAAAAGTTGATCAATGGAAGCCTTTTTGACATTTGGTTCCAAGGTGGTTTCCCAAAAGCATCTCTGGTCAATTTTGATTGAAGTATTGTTGTCTGTATTGCTTAATATCAGACTTAATCTGACAGTCAATGAGAAGCTAAATCTGTTTATTTCAGGCTAAGAACAAGGACTCATGCTGCCCCAAACAAAGACTCTTCTGTTCAAGTAGTTATGATGATTTTTACATGAGGAAGGGCTGAGATAGAATGGTATACATAAACTTGTTCTACAGGGACAACTGGTATGAAGGAGCTAGCATGGTTAAGCCCTCCATTTCTAACACAATTAAGTTGACAAAAAGTATTCTTCATTTAACTTACAGCAGACGGTTTTATATTTTGTTGGAACCCAGAGTAGCATATGAACCTAGCAGTTTCAAGAAAACCCCCGGACAAACCGTCTTTTTTCTGAGAGCCTAAGCACTGTAGCATCATCTTTTATTCACTTCCTTAGTGACACAATGCCACTCCTGTAGCTTTACAGACTGTCGAGATGCTAATAAACTAATTTAGTATCTATTTATTTAAGAAACGCTCTTCAGTTAAAATTACCACGATCACAAGGCTAAATCTGATATCCTGTGAATGGCAAATTCCATTTAGCTTTAAGCTAACAAACTGAAACATTACATCCCGGTCTATCTGTGAGAAACTACGCCAGCCGGCACTGATTTGATAATCCTGTTAAAGCTGTATTAATAGGTTTCTTGGCTATAAATCCTTCACAAAGATAGCTTCCTTTTAAAGACAACCCTAAGAGCAAAGCAGAAATGATCTTTGAATAAGTATTCAGCTTCTTTTATCTGAAGTATAGCTGGGAATCCTCACTTTCTTAAGGCTTATTCAGTTAGCATAAACTTTGCTTGTAGCTGCTAATTAGCTAACTAGCTAATTTGTGAAGGGTGTTGAACATCAAGATAGCTTTAAATACAGACGATTCTGTATTTAAAGAGTGTAGTAAACATAAAAAAGTGACTATTTACATCCCTGCTGTACTTGAAACCCATTTCCATTTTGATAAACAGGCCAGACTACGCCATACTTACATTACCCACACGGCCACATCCACATTTAAAGGGAAAGATTGAGAGCAGCAATGATTGTTTTAACAGGAACTTTTGAGTTAAGAACTTAAAGAGTTTTAGGTATTGCATGACCTGTGACTTTCTAAAAAATGCAAATACGTGGACTTAACATCATCTTAGACAAATGTTTGGTCAACTATATTGAGGCAGCCCAACCAAGCACCAATGGGATGTCATATTTCCTGTCATAAATCTCTCGGAGGAGTGGGTAATATATTCTCCAAACGACTTAAAAATCTGTAGGCCTATAGTAACTCTATTGTTCATGTTCCTTAGACAATTTTTTGAAGGCTTCCCCAACCTGAATATGTTTTAAAAAATGTGGGACGACATTCAATTATTACTTTTTTTAATGTGCATGGTTAGTATTGAGATGCTCTTGGCAAACCACAAACCAGCAGCAAAGCAGATGAAGCCTTACCAGAGGAGGAAGAGAAGGAGCTGGCTGTGCTGCTGCTGCTGCTGGTGGCGGTGGTGGGACTCATGGTTGGGGTTAGTGGCATGCTAGTGGTAGGGATGGTGGATGAAGACGGAGTGATGGGAGGAAGAACTGGAGATGACAAATTATAGGATATAGCAGAACAAAAAAGGGAGCAAACATGGTAAATAAAATGGTTTGAATGCTGCTCAGTGAAAATCCAGTACGTCCACACCGTCCTGAAACACTCAGAAACTGTTTACACTCTCATGGATAAGACGACTGTGGGGAAAGCAAGCGTCCATAGGTGTTTTCGGACCAAACAGTTCTGGGGATCACCATGGGGACTTTTTTCTGTCTGCATTCACACCACAATGCCGATTGGAGAGTACCTACTCTCAATCAGTAGCTTAAAAGGTTCCTGTAAACGGGGTTCAAGGAACTCAGATAGTTTATAGTTCCATCGGCGTGGAATCAATAAAAAAGGGGGACGGCTTTCAACAGTTCCATGAACTATGGAAAAGTTCCTGCGGTCCAAAAACACCAAATGTCATTTGAGGTACATATTTAATATTCAACTGTGAACTGTTGGAGCAAAAGAAAGAAATCCTTATTACTCTAATCAAAGAACAAACGCTGAGTTTAATAAAATCCCGGGAACATTCATTTGCCATTACAACTCCTCAGAAGAACAAGAACGACCAAAAGGTTAATGAACTAATGAAAAGTTTGGGGAGCTCATTTTCTAATGCACTGGAAGATAATATTTAACCAGTCTTATTCCTCCTGAGAGGAACTCGTTCATATCCATCAGTTCATCAGAGCAGAATTAGCTGAGTCCTCCTCGAGTAGATAATGAATAACAGAGTGAACAAATCAATTATAGAGCGTTTGAATCTTCAGAGGTACATGAAATAAAATAGCTCCAAGCTATTCTTCATGGATCCTTGAAAGGTCAAACATTGAATAACTTCAGGGCATTAGTATTTACTTCCATCAAAGATGATGGTTTTTTACTAATGAACTGTAAATGACTTCCTCGAGAAGAGGTCTGCCTAACGGCACGATGAAAAAGAAAGACAAGGGAGTCAAAAGGATGCATGAAAAGGAGTACGAGCGAGATGAGGGTTGCTTACCGTTGCTGTTGGCATTAGTAGCATGGATGGTGTTAGTGGAGTCAGTGGATGAAGTGGCGGGAGAGGAAGCTGGCGGTAGTGACAAGTGGTTTGGGATGAAGGGGAGGGAGGGAGAGAGAAAAGATGCAGAGGATGATGAATGGTTGTGAAGCTGCATTGTTTTCCAGTCGGCCTACCTCCTCATTAACAAAGAATGCAGGACTTGGGGATCCAAACAAAATAATCGAAAACATTTTTAGCCAAATAAAAATGCCAATGGAAGGGATGACGATCAACAACAAACGGGAAAATGAACTCTTACATCAGAGGCGGCAAACATTCATACAAATGTGACAACGACTTTACATGGGGGCTATTTCTGAGGGCAATGCTGGTCAGAGAGTATCCCTCAAAGCACAACCATAGGACAACATTTATGATGACACTGACTGTGAGAGAAGAGCTGTAATCCATAACCAATAGAGAACAAACAATATGATGTATTTTTGTAGTCCAACCCGGAAGTAGCATCGCCATGGGGTCTAACGAGAATTCCTGTGGGATGTTTTCATTGGATTTTGGATCATTGCAGAAAATAATCTCTGTGGCAAACGCACGTTTCTGAAGAGTAGGTGTTTTGTTCAGCAGGATAATCTTCACAGATGAACGCCATTTATATGATGTTTGAAGCGTTAATGCAGCCGACAGAAGTAAAAAGCTAACGTTATGCTACAAGCTAACTACACCACGGTTAGATGATTGTGACGTGACAAGCGTTATGCTTCAGACGATCTCTGATAAACTAATCCACATAGCTTAATAAATAGTTTACTAACATAATATTCACCTTAACCTAAAGATTAAACCTACAGGAGACATCTCCGACTAGTGAGAGAGTTCCCGCCCTCTGTGTCCGGCGTGATGACCTTTATTGTCCCCAACAACCACTGTAATCACATTTAGCCGCTTGTTAGCAACCGCCTTTTTAAAGACGAGTAAAAACTTCAAACTTCACAAGTGGAGGTATTACCTAACGTAGTTTATGTGCTCTAACAAAACACCAACATCTCTTCAGCTTGTGTTAACCACAGACCTTATTTCAGGAGTCTAACCACAAACACATTCAAAATCCCCGTTGACTTTTAAACGTTAGACCCCATGGCGCTCAAAACTAACTCACTTCTGGGTTTTAGGACTTATTCCTGTGGCGCTCTATAACCATTACATGTAGCACCCACACAAACTTCACCTCTAAGGTTATGTAACCCCCAATTGGTAGAGTCAGTCATCTCTCAACTGGAAGTCCGGGGGTCCGATCCCCAGCTCCTGTGGGCACATGTCCTTGGACAAGACACCTAACTCCAAGTAGCTCCCGCTGCTACTGATAAACACTTTACATAGCACCCTCTACCATCAGTGTGTGAATGGGTGTGAATGTGTAGGTGTGTAAAAGAGCTTTGAGTATTCAGAAGACTAGAAAATAACTATTCAAGCTTCTGGCCATTTTTTACCATTTACATAATTGTTAATGGGCGAGTTAGTGGGCGAAATGTCTCTCCACTCATAAATCATTTGAGGGTCGCTGTCACAAATAAACAAAAGGGGTTTGGGGCCGATACGATCTGCTCTTTTTCTGGAGAAGAACTCAGGATTTTTTTGCATATAGGACGACAATAAATATTTTTTTGCTCCATGACTGTCTTAGGTATAGATATGGCTGCCAAGGAAACGACTGATAATGATACGACTGAGATGATAAATTACTTGTTGAAGTACAAGCCAGAAGCAGAAGAATATGACGGGATGTTGTTTTCCCAAAGGTATGGATATACCCTTATTTAAAAATTCAATCAGAACCATCTCTCCTATGATTTGGTGGTTTTGTTTGATTACTTAACCACTCTCTTTGAAGAGGCGATTGCATGTTCCTGAATATTTCTACCTCGATGGAGACTTTGTTTGCTGAGGCACACCTTCACCTCAGGGACTAATTTCTCCTGGTGACCCAAAGGTGAAAAAAACAACAACCAGGCAATTAAAAAAAAGACCAGGACACGGACTTCCCCCGCAGCTCCAGGGACTCTGGACGTGACTGATCTGGTTTAAGGACTCAACATTTAATCCTTTGATTGCTCTCTTCATGGCCTGTTGACCTGCCCGGGGCTGCCGTAGTCATTTATATTCTGGAACATAAACTGGAGCGTAATTGGCTCGACTCCTTTTCTCTCACAGCAGCATCCCCGGAGAAACTGACCTTTAGAAAAATGTCCCTCTGTGGCCTCCGTAGTACAGGATAGTGTGAGAACTGACATTTTGGGAGCGGGGCAAGGTCACGTTGTCTGCTGGTCCCCCGGCTACTGTTCCGACAAACTGCAACAAGTTCGATCCAAATCACATGACCTCCTGGAGCCATGGAGATTGGCTACAGTAAAATTTTCTTTAGGTCAGGATTTGTGCAGCTGAACGACACTCTGGAGTATCTTCACATATCTTCCTTTCAGGGTCATTTGAGGGAAATATCATAAACAGAGTGTACCAGAGGGGATTTTTTTGACACTTTGTTTGGTGAGCGAGAGTATTCTGAGGGTATGTGCTTATTCAATAACAACCTTTCTAGGGGTCAAGTCAGAACACTGCCTTTCAACATCTGGTTTTCTTTCAATAACTTCGACAAACTTGATTGAGATTCTCGTCCTTGTTTGACTTTCTCCCTCAAGCCAACTACATTTCCTTACCGAGCCCAGAATCATAAATCAAACGGGCCGCCGGACACAAACTCTCTGGACTCTTGCTCCGGGTAAAAAACAAAAGAGCTCCAATAAACCTACCTTTTTTTGCATTTCTGTGCCATGTTTTAAGAACATTTTCAATAGACTCATAAAAATCAGAATGAATACTTTTTTGGAAGTGTTTGTGTACTCTCTCTGCAACGGTTTACCAGCACCAACTGGAGAGCGGCCCAACATTCATGTGGTGTTGGAATAATTGGAAAATTAGTTTCCAACTTCTAATGGTCGCTGTGGATAGAAATCCTGTTAAACATGACTCGACACTTGGATAAAAATAACACTCGGTTTTTGATTAATCCAGTCAATAAAACCTCCAGAGATAGTGAGAGATGTGTCATTTTCACTGAATCTTCTGCTTCATTATCAAAGGATTACTTAAGGCTGGCCTCACACTAGATGATTTTAAAGTCTTTACTGATTTAATAACATCGGAGACAACAGACATGAGGGCAGTTTCAAACGATTTTTAACATCATAATCCACCGAACGCACACATGAGTTGATTCAACCAGACCACCTACAATTCTACAATTGACTTAGCAGATGCTTTTATCCAAAGCGACGTACATCAGAGAGTAAGAACAACACAAGCAAGGATCTAGAAAAAAGGGAACAATGTCAGTAAGAGCAAACGATCAGCTTTGAGTCTGATTGGACACACAGGTGCTGACAGGAAGTGACCAGAGGCAAAGCACAACATTGAGGGCAGTTCTTGAGAGCTCTAATCAGTATAGAAACCATCTTATAAGTCGTCGTTATCAAACAAAAACCATCGTCATTACCATCATCATCATCAATAATATGGAGACCATCATCATTAAGTTAGTAGGTATTCATGAAAGAGCTGGGTCTTTAGCTTTTTCTTAAAGGTGCAGAGGGACTCTGCAGATCACATGGAGTTTGGACCTGCTGTTTGTAGTAACACCTGAGGAATTATTTGAATCAATAATTTGATCTGACAAGCCTTGAATCGGGCCACACCCTGTAGAGGTTAATATTGATCCGTATCCAAAACCGCATACTTTCAAACTATTTGTTAAAAGTATGACTTCAAATTATGCACGTACTGAATTCATAGTAAACTATTTTGTATATGCAAGAAATCCCCAGATGTTCAATAGATTGGCAATCATTTTTATTGGGACTTCCTTATCAAGGCCATATAAGGATCAAATACTGACATCAAAAAACACTGCCCTGTGAAGCTGAACGAGCAGGAAATGGAACAGCCAAGGTGGAGAGTGGAATCCAAACTGGGTTGATCCAAGGTACCCGGGCTAGTGGATCCAGTCTTTGAGAGTGATTTAACAATAACATTTGACAGCTGTATGTGACCGTGTAGTAACAGAAGGTTCTTTGAATAACAGCTTATTCAAATGTGTGTTACTTTCAACAAGGCCTCGATGTTCAAGAAACACTAGTGCAGCTGTATCATGGAAGACAAATAGGTCTTGTTGTGTCAGCAATTCTCTGAACTCAAGTTTTTGGAATAAATAACACACTCAAGAAACATTTGACAGTATGCAGTACAGATGGCAGATGGATGGTAAGAGGAGAAACTGTCAGATAAAGAGTTTCTGCCAATCCACGATTCCCAGTCGGTGTTGATTCGCAGATCAAAAGATGTCTAGACATCTTGTTGGATTTATTTGATCAGTAAAAGTTTAATAGCGTGGTTCGAACATCAAACAAGCTGGATTTTGTTCAAAGGAGCCAGAGTGCTACATCACCTCTGCTTCACCAGAAACTAGGCTCTTATACATTAAAAGTGGAGATCCATTTCCAGTCATTAGAAAGTGCTCATACTCATATCTATTTTCTTATAGCAGAAACCATTATAAACACAAACTGATCAGTAAAGTTTAGCCACTAGTGTCCACTAGAGTCTGTCTCCTGCAGTGAGTCAGTCCTCATAGAGCTCTATGTTAAAATGTCCAACTTTACAGCTGCAGTTCCTCCAGTGTCCACTAGAGTCTGTCTCCTGCAGTGAGTCAGTCCCCATAGAGCCCCATGTTAAAATGTCCAACTTTACAGCTGCAGTTCCTCCAGTGTCCACTAGAGTCTGTCTCCTGCAGTGAGTCAGTCCCCATAGAGCTCCATGTTAAAATGTCTAACTTTACAGCTGCAGTTCCTCCAGTGTCCACTAGAGTCTGTCTCCTGCAGTGAGTCAGTCCCCATAGAGCTCCATGTTAAAATGTCTAACTTTACAGCTGCAGTTCCTCCAGTGTCCACTAGAGTCTGTCTCCTGCAGTGAGTCAGTCTCCATAGAACTCCATGTTAAAATAAACATGTTTACAGTCTGGTACAAAAACAGTTTGAGTCTCTAGAGCTCATTTCTCTCTTCAACTGTACGGGCTGAATGTTTACACAACTCACCTGTTTACATTATATTATGTCTTGAAGGGGAGTAATTTCAGGATAAATCTGCTGAGGGTGCTAAACAGCTTGTTCTGCAAAATCACACCATAATTCTCTGATATGAAACCAAGAATTTCATGAGATGGCTTTGTTCACTCTATGAGCAAAACCTGCATTCAGTTCCGATATCCTGTTTTCTTCCCATCCCCCCTCATCAGACTTTTAAACAGGTTTGATTGAATCAGAATGGATTAATTGATCAGAGTTAAAAGGTAGAAAGTGTTTGTTCTGGATCATGTAAACCGCCCCAGAGCTGAAATTCAACACACATCTGTTACAACACCATTTAATAGACCATCAAACATAAAGATGTACACTGTGTTAGGATACGCTAATGCCTCTTTATCTGCCAATCAAATCTATGCTGCATCTGAAAAAATGAAAGTTATCTCCACGACCAGGTAGAGACGGTGTTTATCATGCAGGTGTGTTGGTTTGTCCTACCTGGGCAGCCCAGTCCCGGGGAGTCACAGCTGGTGGTGAGGGGTGTGTCGCTGGGCGGGGAGACACCTTTGGGGGAGGGGAGGGAAGATTAAAACAAAAATGTTAATGAATTAAAAATGATGGTTAAATGGAGGGAAATGTGAGTGAGAAGGTTTTTGTATTTGTTTAAATTCACTGATATGAATCTAATGCAGGTGTTCAGGGATCATAAAGGGACTGGTTTCTGGTGCACACTAGATAGTTGTCCATGAACACCTGAAACTGGATTTTTTTAACATCTTTTTGCCCATGTCCTCTTTGAGTTTCCATACAATTAAAAATAAGTTCAGTGGGTAATGAAGTTGCACACTTTTACAAATGGAAATAAATATTGTGGTCAGGTGATTAGATTTATATAATGTTGGGACACTTTGTTAAAACCAGTTCATTCATTCTGGGTCAATCAGGGCCTGCAGGGGCTGGAAAGTATCCCAGTATGCATTGGATAAAAGTTGGGTCCATCCTCTTTTCAGTGTAGGAATATAAAAAAAACTATTTGTTGAAATGTTTTCTGGAGGAACATTTTGCATGCAGGAAAAACTTTCTCACACTTTGTATTTTCTCAATCAATAACACTCTGTGGGTTGTGGTGGGACTCAAGACTGGCTTCTTGCTGGGATCAGATTCCTGATGTTTTTATTTCAGGGACAGCCTGTCTGACCGACTGTGCGCCTACAGCGGCCAAAAAATCGAGCGCTCCTCGAACTTCACTGTCCATTTAAAAATGTAATCGTGCGCCCGGTCTCCGGCCCACACAAACTGAATATTCACAGGCCTTCAGAGAGAGAGTGGGAGAACAGACAGGGCAGTGAAAGCAGAGACTTTGTTCATGCACACACACACACACACACACACACACACACTGTAACAGAAGGAATGTGTTCGAGAGAATGTCAGCAAATCATCACAGAGTGAAAAAGCAGGAATTCAGTAATCATGGACGGCGTGCGGATCAAAAGAGGCGAGAAGAGCTGAGGATTCTGCCCCGTCATAATCCACCCCACCCCCCACCATCTCTTGTCCTTTGTCCTTCTTTCTTTCTACCTCTCTTCTCAGCCTCTCTCTCCTCACCGACTTGTTGCTTCACCTTCTGACACCCTTACCTCTCTCTCTCCTCGGCGTCTGGCATGTATTAAGTGTTACTGTAAGAAACCGGTGACGTAACTGAGAGACCATGTGTGGGACTCTAAACGTTGGTATTTCACCTCGACGGGCGTGTTTTATTGCAGGGAATTAAAAAAATCCACATGCCAAGCAAGCTCCCAAAAACTTCAGCTTTTTACCTAATAAACTATGATCCTCGCCCGACCATGAAACAAAACAAAACATTGCATTTGCACAAATATCATTGTCAGAACAACTTGTGCGTTAGGAAACTACCACAGACTGTGAATACTACTGGACGAAGCCTGAGCGATGTCACCATAACGACAGGCTAAGAGCTGGAGCTGAAGCAGGTTACACCAGCTAGCTTACTCTGGCTAAAGCTACAAAGCACCTAGAATGCTGAATGCTAGCTAAGCCTGTCCAAGACAAGGTAGATACCAAGCTGCAAATGCAGCCGATGCTGAAGTGTAAAATTCTGCAGTTCCTGGAGTGTCCACTAGAGGCGGGCTGCAGAAGCACAGGAAGTCACATACACACTCATTCTAAAAAGCCTGTTTTTACAGCAGAGATGAACATGTTTACAGCCTGGTTCAAAAAACCAAATAGGTGTGATTAGCTCATGTCTGGATGGACACACACTGTACGGGGGGTGAATGTTTTGATGACTCATCAGTTTTGATTTGATGAAGGATAAGAGTTATTCACAATAAGGCGTGTAGCTGACCTGATTGACAGGTGGGCGCGGTGTAACGGTTTGTCAGGAGGTTTAAAACCCGCCTCAGCTCCAGCTCTCAGCCTGTCGTTAGGTTGACTGAAAGTTAGACTGAGACAGCATTTCCAGCATGGAGACCGCCATCGATGGGACTCCAGCGCCCCCTGCAGGGACAGACGGGTTGTAGCTTCTGATGATGAAGGAGGTGAAACGCGTTGTTCCCTAACAATATTTACATGGTAGTGTCTTTTTCATCCTCTCCTCTCTTCCTCTCCTTCTATCCTTCCTTCCTTCACTCCCTTCTCTCTCTGTCCCTTTATACCACTTGTGTCCTCTGCAGCTATCTCCCCCTCTGCAGCATGCCGCAGAGCCCTCTGACAGGACAAAGTGTGGACCAGCATGGAGGCGGATACAGAGCACCATCTCTAATAACGAGCTTTAATTAATCTAATCGTTCAGCAGCAGGTGGCAGCATACAATTTACTGTAATTACTGTCACAGTGTGGGTATTATCTGCAGGAGAGCACGCACACGGTTCCATCTTTTAACCGCCCAAAAATGTTACATTTATAGTTAATACAAGAGGAAGTGTCAGAGCACAATATGAAGTTTGGGCATCACAATAAAAACCTTCTAATCCGGGAAGCATGTGTTGGTGTGTCTCTATCAGTGTGTGGACACGCTGACAGCAGGCGGAGGATTATAACAGTGAGGGGCGGCTTGGCCCACACTCTGGTGTGTTCATGAAGCATCACAGAAAGTTACATTCTGCAGCTTTCTTATTAACTAAGTTTGGCTGTTTTGGCTTTTTTTAACAAATACACACTTCATGAAGCTTTTCCATCCGCTGTTCCTGAAAACACTCAGCACCTGTTTAGGAAAATATTTTGTTCTAACACCCGATTTAAACATACTACACGGCCAGTTTCTGCTCTGTCGGACGGTGTGCGTCCGGCCCCACTGGAGAACTACAAGATCACAGGAGAACTACAAGATCACAGGAGAACTACAAGATCCCAGGAGAACTACAAGATCACAGGAGAACTACAAGATCCCAGGAGAACTACAAGATCCCAGGAGAACTACAAGATCACAGGAGAACTACAAGATCACAAGAGAACTACAAGATCACAGGAGAACTACAAGATCCCAGGAGAACTACAAGATCCCAGGAGAACTACAAGATCACAAGAGAACTACAAGATCACAGGAGAACTACAAGATCACAAGAGAACTACAAGATCCCAGGAGAACTACAAGATCACAAGAGAACTACAAGATCACAGGAGAACTACAAGATCACAGGAGAACTACAAGATCCCAGGAGAACTACAAGATCCCAGGAGAACTACAAGATCACAAGAGAACTACAAGATCACAGGAGAACTACAAGATCACAAGAGAACTACAAGATCCCAGGAGAACTACAAGATCCCAGGAGAACTACAAGATCACAGGAGAACTACAAGATCACAAGAGAACTACAAGATCACAGGAGAACTACAAGATCACAAGAGAACTACAAGATCACAGGAGAACTACAAGATCACAAGAGAACTACAAGATCCCAGGAGAACTACAAGATCACAAGAGAACTACAAGATCACAGGAGAACTACAAGATCACAGGAGAACTACAAGATCCCAGCAGAACTACAAGATCCCAGGAGAACTACAAGATCACAAGAGAACTACAAGATCACAGGAGAACTACAAGATCACAAGAGAACTACAAGATCCCAGGAGAACTACAAGATCACAGGAGAACTACAAGATCCCAGGAGAACTACAAGATCACAGGAGAACTACAAGATCACAAGAGAACTACAAGATCACAAGAGAACTACAAGATCTGCTGAACTAGCCAGATTTTATTTTAAAAACAGGCGCCGCCATAAAAGGAACGCTGTCTGTGGACACAGCCCCTCACAGAGACAGACCGTCAGGCACCATCACACACCGGGTGAGTGCTTCATGTTTCCGCTCTGGCGTCCATAAGAGATGAAAGACGACGTTACGTGTGCACATGTTAAGAAGTTAAACACAGTTTTAATGAAGCCTGGACACACACACGGCGCTCTGCAGGCGCTCGGCGACAGCGCTCGCTTTCTCTCTCTCTCTCGCTCTCTCTCTCTGCTCCATCAGCAGCAGCCTCATTACCGACCGCAGAGGAACATAAAACCGGCCTCCGATGGCTCCCTCGTAAAGACAAAACAACATTCTGGAGGTAAACAAGACGACTCTGCAGGGAGAGAAAAACAAAGTGTGAAATGTTCTTGGACACTCCAAGGAAACATTCGGTGCAGAGCTTCAATTTCCTCTGATGGACGGAAAATTTATTCATAAAAATCATGAAGGATGTGAACGGTTCATTCATTTGTTTAGACCGATTTAACCTTTCGACCTCTCCGTCAGAAATAGGATGGCTACGACCAAGCTGGTTGTTTTGCTTATCGGGTCGTCACTTTTGGGAAATCATTCAATCTTTAAATCATGCAGTGAATAAAAAGTCTCCAGAACACTTTTTGAAGGTCTCGTCTCAGAATCTGAAGCATTTTTACTCGGTCTTGTCTCGGTCTCAGACTGGGCGGACTCCGGATTTCAAATCAACAGCGGTCAAGACCACCACTGATCGGCTCTTTTTCCACATCATTACTGTGATTAGAATTGTAGCACCTGTGGTCCTAACCTGGTTGGATCGATAAGATACTAACATCAATCTAGGTCCTAAAAGAGTATGCACATTGAATGACTCACAAAAGGAGTTGGTGTTGGTTTGAACAGTTGACACTTTTTAATACCTTTCTCAGCATCAATAAACATTTACAGTCGTGCTGAGTGTATAAACATAGAAAAAATAGAGTTCTGTGAAAATAAAACAAAACCAAAAGAAATTGTCCTTTTGAGTTGGACTCCCAGCTCGAATGCTCCTCTGTAAAGAGGAATTGAAAAGTTCAACGCGCAAAAAAAGAGTTCAGCTTCGGGGGAAAATCCAGATGTGTGTGTTCAATGTCAATGTCTACTATTACTACCCGGGTAGGTTAATAAGAGTGTATGTGTCTTATCTGGAATCAAATGAATGAATCAAGCAATCCGACGTCCTCTGAGCAGGTCCTGCAGCTGACCACACTGCGTAATCGACCCCCCTCAGAATACACGGGCCGGGCTCGCCATCAAGTTCATCTATGTTCTGGTACTTCAAAAATAAAAAAACCTACACAAATAGTGCAGAATTTTAAATTATCTAGTTCTTATTCTGTTTCTAACATGAGACCTCGTTAACTTCTACTTCAATCATTGTATTTTTCAATGTGTAACCAAAATCCAAGGAAATACCTCTAAATACAATAAGATTAATTGCTATGTATCACAACAATTAGCTTTTAACAACAACAAATATACTGACTTGCTAAGAATCACCATATGTCATGGTATTTTAGCAAAAAAATGAATTATTTATCTCTTTTAAACTATTTACTCTTCATATTTCCCTTCTTTAAACTCTTTTGAATCAAGATTTTAATATATTGCATTTTAAAACATGAAAATGAATTAAATTATAACTACTACTACACTTAACTACTGCATTTTAACAACCAAAATCAGTTAAACCACATTTTAATTGTACCTTAAAACCTTTAAAGTGGCTAATTAAACTTATACAAAGTGTTTTAATGTCAAACAGGTGATGTGTTCCTTTAAGGTTTCACAACACTGTCTGAATGATACATTAGCTTAGCAATTAGCATTAGCTAGCTTCTAGCATACAGTTGCACATCATATCACTAACCAGACTAATACTGTAGATTAACGAATAACATTGACTCTCTCCATTTTTAATCTTCAAACACTTCAGCAGTCTGATGTGTCTGTTAATGCAGATCCAATTTGTCAGCTTCTGTTTTTTTTTCTAATTAATCCTCTGTGTTCCCTGCTGCTGTAATGACCCAGTTTCCCCTTTAGGGATCAATCAGCTCATCTTCATTTATCACTGATTATAAAAAACATCAGAGCAGCTGTGAACGCCTGAGGAGCCACGTTTGAGTCAACAGTGAAAACAGTTTAATAGATCCTGGAGTCGACGTTTATGAGCTCGATTTTTATTTTCTAGGAAGAGGAACTATCACCTGACGTCCGAACATTGAGATTATTAAAGGAGCAGTATGTAACTCTCACACCTAGTGGTTAAAATGGGTACTGCAGTCTAAATTCTAAACATCATAGAGAGCTGTCTCCCCCCCCCTCTCACTCAGGTCACCATGTGGTGGACTCTGAAGCTTCAGTGTTTATCCAGCTCTGCATGGGTCTGTAAACCTTTCTGTGTTCTAACCTCTCTCCATTTTTCAAAAGCATCTCCAATATTGATCCTAGTTTGAGCACGTTTCTGCTCATGGAGCTTATTAGAAACATGCAGAGGCTTTTTAGGTCGGGTACAATCACTTCTATCTGAACCACTTCTCTTGACCGCTTCCATCGCTGCAACACCTGTTGACCTGATAACTGCTCTCATATCTGGCAAACCGAGGGGCGTCCAAAACGGGCCGTGTTAAACTCCATCAATGTTTGCTTTTTGAGTACTACGAGTGACCATCTGAACCGGAGAGAACAACCAGTCTGAAGACGTCGAGTAGCTTCCAAAGTGAGATTTGAAATACCTCAAAGTCCGAGATAGCCGGACGAGCTGATACCAAGAGAACAAGTGAAGTTTAATGTTTCTAGGAAAATTATCCTGTGGGCAGAAATGCAGAGAAAAATCTCCATTTTGTAAACACATAGAACTGCACATTCTCATTCATGCATGGTAGCTCTGTTAGGATGGACACACACACACACACACACACACACACACACACACACACACACACACACACACACACACACACACACACACACACGGTCATTAGCAGGGTGTTAGCAGCACTCACCACTAGTTGGCGCAGCAGTAGTTAAGTGAATGCAGTGAGGGTAGCAGACTGTGAAGAGAAGCACAGACATCGGTCATTAAAAAGCATCGATTAAGTTTAGAGGCGTTCATCGATGAGTCGTTTATTAACGAGCTGTAAAGGAGGAGGAGGATGGTTGATTAGTCAACAACAACAACAAAACAAGGTCAAAGGTCATTTATAGTTAATTAAAATCAGGCAGATCAGAAACCATCAGCCATCAAGGCTTCATGGGTTTAACATGGGGGGGCGTGCACAAAGGAAAGGGGGTTTGAAGGTTCAGGAATTACACACACACACACACACACACACACACGCGCACACACACACACACACACACAGACAGACACACACAGACAGACACACACACACACACACGCACACACACACACACACACACACAGACAGACACACACACACACACACACACACACAGACACACACACACACACACACACACAGACACACACACACACACACAGACACACACACACAGACACACACACACAGACACGCACACGCACACACACGCACGCACGCACGCACGCACGCACGCACGCACAGACACACACACACACACACACACACACACACAGACACGCACGCGCACACGCACACGCACACGCACACACACAGACACGCGCACGCGCACACGCACACACACAGACACACGCACGCACGCACGCACGCACGCACACACACACACACACACACACACACACACACACACACACACACACACACACACACACACACACACACACACACACACACAAAAAGGGTAAAGCGTTGGCAAGAATTTCCCTCAAACCTCTGTGGCTAACCTCCTGTGGGTACACACTCATTTACAACTTTTAAAATATGAGGTACAGCACTACTCTGTGGACACACACACACACACACACACACACAGACACAGTTAAGTGTAACACTGTTCTTCATGGTTATTACTCAAATACGGTGAGAAAATGGTCGATTATGTAAACGTGGTTTAAGGTTTTTGAAGTGTGTAAAGAGCTTGCAGCCATTTGTGTGTGTGTGTGTGTGTGTGTGTGTGTGTGTGTGTGTGTGTGTGTGTGTGTGTATGTGTGTGTGTGTGTGTGTGTGTGAGTGTCTGTATGTGTGTGTGTGTGTGTGTGTGTGTGTGTGTGTGTGTGTGTGTGTGTGTGTGTTTAGCCAATAATGGGTTTCTAGGGCAGAGCAGTAATCAGAGAGCTGATTGGTCGGCAGCCAAACTTCTTGCTGGAATCTATCAACTCGCCAGCCGTGGTTTAAATCTGAGCTGACGTCTGCTTCTAATTTTCTCCCCGATAACAAAGACACGGAAACATTACGCAGCGTGCAGCGTGCAGCACGGCGTGTTCGACCTTTACATCATGACCTCCAGCGTGACTCTTCAGAACGATCTCTGTACACGGGGCGCTTGAACTAACCGCTGGACCAAAGCGTTTCATGAATATGTTCCCCCTCTGCTGTGGAGGCGCGTCAGTACTCACTGCAGCTGAGCGAGGTGTCCGTCTGGGCGAGGGTGGACGGGATGGTCCAGTGGCTGTTGTCCCAGTCGACCACGTTTCCCACGATGTCGCAGGTCAGCGCGTTCAGCTGCTGCACCGACATGGCGTGATCCCACAGCCGGAGGTTATAGATGTTCCCGCTGAAGCTGTGCTGACCTGCGATCAACACAAGACAGTTAGAACCATCGAACTCTGTGCAGACTCCTCGACTCATCCCGTGGCGTGCTGACGGGAAAACGGCGCTCTGTTAAAAATAAACGGCGCTCACACATCCTCAGCGTAGGCGGGCGAGCATCCTCCATTTGACGCTCAGAGTGAAGGAAAAAAACGATCTCAAATATAAACCGTGCAGTAAAGAGTAACGGAGCAGGGTCGGTCATGCAGTGGCCATTTTTTAAAAGACTGTTGTCATCGAAACAGGATGGGCGTGACTGGCTGGAATAAACGACATGGAGGCGGGGTCTTACCTCCTAAGTGAAAGTTTCCCCCGCCCGGCACGCTGTGTCCGCTGGAGCTGGAGCACGTCTTGGCCCAGTAGTTCCCGTTGTAGTAGACTCCGACCCGGCCGTTCGACGACGTCCAGAGCACGCAGAAGGCCTTCCTGTAGAAGGTGAACTCGGCGGCGGGCAGGATGGAGTCAATGGGACAGACCACTCCGTCCACGATCATCTGCACGCCGCTCTGATCGGCGCCCAGACTCAGGGCCACGTTGCTGCTGCTGTCGGTGTAGGTGAAGATCCACTCCTTCTGCTCGGGAAGCCAGAGAGGTCAAGAGGTCAAGACGTACAGAGGTCAAGAGGTCATGAGGTACAAAGGTCATGAGGTACAGAGGTCATGAGGTACAGAGGCTGTGCTTTAATAACAAGTAGCTCCCCCCAATCCCCCCCCCCCTTGTGTCGCCTTTTGTCCTGGTGTCAGGTGTACCTGCTTCTGTGCGCTGCGTTCCAGCTCGAAGCACAGCGTCAGGTGACTGAGAGCCGGTATGGAGACAGCCTCGGCGACCTCGGTGACTTGGCCATTACCTCCGCTTATGGTGACCTTCTGGTTCCTCAGGGCAACGGCGACTAGAGGGGAGAGGTGGAAAACGAGAGGGAAGGAGGAGAGGACGGAGGAGAGGAGGGAATGATGGTAGGAAGGAGGAGAGGAAGGTAGGAAGGAGGAGAGGACGGTAGGATGGAGGAGAGGGAAGAAGAGGAGAAGAGGATGGTAGGAAGGAGGAGAGGACGGAGGAGAGGAGGGAATGATGGTAGGAAGGAGGAGAGGAAGGTAGGAAGGAGGAGAGGATGGTAGGAAGGAGGAGAGGACGGTAGTAAGGAGGAGAGGACGGTAGTAAGGAGGAGAGGACGGTAGGATGGAGGAGAGGGAAAAAGAGGAGAAGAGGATGGTAGGATGGAGGAGAGGGAAAAAGAGGAGAAGAGGATGGTAGGATGGAGGAGAGGGAAAAAGAGGAGAAGAGGATGGTAGGATGGAGGAGAGGATGGTAGGATGGAGGAGAGGATGGAGGAGAGGATGGTTGGAAGGAGGAGAGGGAAGAAGAGGAGAAGAAGATGGTAGGATGGAGGAGAGGATGGTAGGATGGAGGAGAGGACGGTAGGATGGAGGAGAGGGAAAAAGAGGAGAAGAGGATGGTAGGATGGAGGAGAGGATGGTAGGATGGAGGAGAGGATGGTAGGATGGAGGAGAGGATGGTTGGAAGGAGGAGAGGGAAGAAGAGGAGAAGAAGATGGTAGGATGGAGGAGAGGATGGTAGGATGGAGGAGAGGGAAGAAGAGGAGAAGAGGATGGTAGGATGGAGGAGAGGATGGTAGGATGGAGGAGAGGACGGTAGGATGGAGGAGAGGGAAGAAGAGGAGAAGAGGATGGTAGGAAGGAGGAGAGGACGGAGGAGAGGAGGGAATGATGGTAGGAAGGAGGAGAGGAAGGTAGGAAGGAGGAGAGGATGGTAGGAAGGAGGAGAGGACGGTAGTAAGGAGGAGAGGACGGTAGGATGGAGGAGAGGGAAGAAGAGAAGAGGATGGTAGGAAGGAGGAGAGGACGGTAGTAAGGAGGAGAGGACGGTAGGATGGAGGAGAGGGAAAAAGAGGAGAAGAGGATGGTAGGATGGAGGAGAGGATGGTTGGAAGGAGGAGAGGGAAGAAGAGGAGAAGAAGATGGTAGGATGGAGGAGAGGATGGTAGGATGGAGGAGAGGACGGTAGGATGGAGGAGAGGGAAAAAGAGGAGAAGAGGATGGTAGGATGGAGGAGAGGATGGTAGGATGGAGGAGAGGACGGTAGGATGGAGGAGAGGGAAGAAGAGGAGAAGAGGATGGTAGGATGGAGAGGAAGGTAGGATGGAGGAGAGGATGGTAGGAGGAGGAGAGGATGGTAGGAAGGAGGAGAGGAAGGTAGGATGGAGGAGAGGGAAGAAGAGGAGAAGAGGATGGTAGGATGGAGGAGAGGATGGTTGGAAGGAGGAGAGGGAAGAAGAGGAGGAGAGGATGGTAGGAAGGAGGAGAGGACGGTAATAAGGAGGAGAGGATGGTAGGATGGAGGAGAGGATGGTAGGAAGGAGGAGAGGAAGGTAGGATGGAGGAGAGGGAAGAAGAGGAGGAGAGGATGGTAGGATGGAGGAGAGGATGGTAGGAAGGAGGAGAGGATGGTTGGAAGGAGGAGAGGGAAGAGGAGGAGAGGATGGTAGGAAGGAGGAGAGGGAAGAAGAGGAGAGGATGGTAGGAAGGAGGAGAGGATGTAGGAAGGAGGAGAGAATGGTAGGAAGGAGGAAACGATGGTTGGAAGGAGGAGAGGGAAGAAGAGGAGGAGAGGATGGTAGGAAGGAAGAAAGGATGGTAGGAAGGAGGAGAGGGAAGAAGAGGAGAGGATGGTAGGAAGGAAGAAAGGATGGTAGGAAGGTGAAGCGGACGGTAGGAAGGAGGAGAGGAAGGTAGGAAGGAGGAGAGAAGGGTAGGAAGGAGGAAACGATGGTTGGAAGGAGGAGAGGGAAGAAGAGGAGGAGAGGATGGTAGGAAGGAAGAAAGGATGGTAGGAAGGAGGAGAGGGAAGAAGAGGAGAGGATGGTAGGAAGGAAGAAAGGATGGTAGGAAGGTGGAGAGGACGGTAGGAAGGAGGAGAGGAAGGTAGGATGGAGGAGAGCGGAGGAGGAAAAGTAAGCAAAGAGAGCGATGAAGACAGAAAACAAAGGTAGGAAAGGAAACAAGGAGAAAATAAGAAGAGTTCAAATTCATCTTACAGACAAAGAAAAACTTCATCCATGTTTTTTATTTTACCAAACAGACAAACGTCAAATCTGATTTCAACCACGACTGGCAGAAAGTCAAACCAACACACACACACACACACACACACACACACACACACACACACACACACACACACACACACACACAAACTACTTCTGTGTGACCTAATCACTAACGCTAACGCTGCATCAGACTGTACATTCAAGATTCAAGATTCAAGATTTTTATTTGTCACATGCTCATACAGATGTGCAGTGAAATGTAAAGACTGTTCCACAAGGCCATGCAATAAACACTCAAATTACTAATATACATATATACAGTAAAATAGAATATAATGTAAAAAATAAATAAAATAATTATTTGAATGTACAATATATGAAATATAGAATAATGTAAACAGTGTAAAGTGTCAGTGTGTAAAGTGTCAGTGTGTAAAGTGTCCAGGGTGTCAAAGTGCAATGTGCAGATTAGAATGTGTGGTGTGTGTGCATCATGTAGTCACAGTTCTGTTTTGTTTTTAACTGAGGAGAGTGGAGTTAACAGTCCGGACAGCCGGAGGAAAGAAGCTCTTCCTGAGTCTTTCTGTGTTCGCCTTGATGTGTCGAAGGCGCCTGCCAGAGGGTAGCCATGTAAACAGTCCGTTACCTGGGTGGTGGGGATCACTCATGATCCTGTTTGCCCTGGCTGTGCTCCTCCTTGTGAAGATGTCCTGGAGGGTGGGGAGTGTTGTACCCATGGAACGCTCTGCTGACTTCAGCACCCTCTGCAGGGCTCTTCGGTCACGTACAGTGCTGTTCCCGTACCACTGGGTGATGTTTCCAGTCAGCACACTCTCCACCGCTCCGAAATAAAAAGTCTTCAGGACCTTCACAGAGACTTTGAATTTCCTCAGCTGTCTGAGGTGATAGAGGCGCTGCCTCGCCCTCTTCACCTGACTGTCTATGTGGGTTGTCCATGTTAAATCCTCAGACATGTGCACCCCCAGGTACAGGGGTACACCCTGTCCACCAGCGTCCCATCAATTCTCAGTGGGGTGTAATCCTTCTGCTGTCCTCTCCTGAAGTCCACAATCAGCTCCTTGGTTTTGCTGACGTTCAGGAGCAGGTTGTTGTCCTGGCACCACTGTGACAGGTTTCCAACCTCCCCTGTATACGTCTGCTAATCATTGTTGCTGATGCGACCAACAACCACCGTGTCATCTGCAAATTTCACGACGATGTTGGAGCTGCTTGTGGCCACACAGTCATGTGTGTACAGGGTGAAGAGCAGGGGGCTGAGGACACAGCCCTGTGGTGCTCCGGTGTTGAGGGTGCAGGGGCTGGAGGTGTGTCTGCCCACTTTGACCACCTGGGATCTGTTCGTCAGGAAGTCCAGGATCCAAGCACATAGGGAGGTGTTAAGTCTGAGGTTGATCAGCTTGGAATGGAGGTTGGCGGGGACTATAATGTTGAAAGCTGAACTAAAATCAATGAACAGCAGTCTCACATAGTCCCCCTTCCTTCTGTCCAGATGGGTGAGGGTGGTGTGCAGTACCTGGGAGACAGCATCATCTGTGGATCTGTTCAGTCTGTATGCGAACTGAAGTGGATCCAGAGACTCGGGAGCAAGGAGCAGATTTGCATCTTGATGAGTCTCTCAAAGCACTTCATCCCTTCTGAGGTGA